CGGGTGGCCCCTCCCTTTATCTCTGAAGGTTCAAACCACCAGCGTGGTCCCGTCCCTCACAGGCTGACAGCAGCTGGCGTCGGGAGAGGATCCTGCATGTGCCCCTGTGCCGGGAGGACTGCGAGCAGTGGTGGGAGGACTGCAAGGACTATGTCACGTGCAAGGAGAATTGGCACAAGGGCTGGAACTGGGCTACAGGTTAGTGGGAAGAGTGGAGTGAGACAACTGGAAAACGGAAGAGTTAGATGAGCTCTGAGGCAGAAGCTCTTCCCTGTGAGGGTGCTGAGGCGCTGGCACAGGGGGCACCGAGCATCCCTGGCAGTGTTCAAGGCCAGGTTGGACACAGGGACTTGGAGCAACCTGCTCTAGTGGAAGGTGTCCCTGCCCGTGGCAGAGGGTTGGGACTGGATGAGCTTTAAGCTCCCTTCAACCCAAACCTGTGGTTCTGTAAGTAGCTCTTACCTGTCTATGGGGTTGCCAACCAGAAGGTTGAGGAATCCGCCAAGGTGCAGCAATGGGCTGGTGGCCTGGTGGCTGTAAGTGAAAGGATGGGAGTGAAGGGCCCTTGCTCACCCTGTTGTTCTCCGTGGTGGTGCTGTCTCCTCAGGCACGAACCGCTGTCCCTGGGGCTCCATGTGCAGACCCTTCAGCCAAGTCTTCCCCCAGCCAGAAGACCTGTGTGAGAAAATCTGGTCCAACTCCTACAGATACACCACGGAGCAGCGGGGCAGTGGGCGCTGCATCCAGATGTGGTTTGACCCTGCCCAGGGGAACCCCAATGTGGTTGTGGCCAAGTACTATGCATGGAAAAAAAATTCTGCTTGGATGGAGACCGAGGCTCCCGAGACCAGTGGAGCTGAGTGTGCTCTGTCATGGCCCATCCTGGTCCTGCTGCCTCTGGCCATCATGGTGCTCCTTGATGGAGCTGAGGGCTGTGAATCCCATGGGTGGGGATCCCTGTGACTCCTTCCAGAGGGACATGGCTTGTGCTACTGCTGCTGCCCTGCAAGAGGAGCTGGCACAGGGAACTTGGGTCTGTCCAAGCTGGTCACGCACCTCAGTAAGTGCTTCCATGAGTTTTGTTGTTGGACCTTTATCTGCCTCTGAACCTTTATCTGCCTCTGCTTCCAGCTGCTGACCAGGGCAGCGATTTCCTTGCCATCCTAGGCAAGGCAATGCTGTCTTTGCTCTGATGGAGGAGTTCCTTCCCCTCTGTGCTTCTTCAAGGTCCTCAGCTGAGCTCTGGGGTCTGGTCCTTCACCCTGCTCTGGCTCCCTCAGGGGTGGGGATGGCAATAAAACTTTCCTCTGAAGCAGCCTTGCTGTGTGCATGTTGTGCCATATGGAGGGGACGGAATAAGGCTGCTGGTCTGGACTGGGAGGTGTTGGGTCTGGGATCTGTAATGTGGGAGCCTGGGGGGTTAGAATGATGCAGCTTCTTGGGTAGATGGAGATCTGAGCACTGACAGCTCCTTTGCTGTTCTGCTCAGCTCCATGTGCTGGAGAGATGTGGAGTTGTCTGGAGGCTTGTTCAGCTTGGAGAAGAGAAGGCTTCTTAAGGGGAGACCTTAGAGCAGCTCCCGTGCCTAAAGGGGCCCCAGGCAACCTAGAGAGGGGCTTTGGACAAGGGTCTGTAGGGACAGGACAAGGGGAATGGCTTTAACCTGCCAGAGGGGAGGTTGAGATGAGCTCTTGGGCAGAAGCTCTTCCCTGGGAGGGTGCTGAGGCGCTGGCACAGGGTGCCCAGAGAAGCTGTGGCTGCCCCATCCCTGGCAGTGTTCAAGGCCAGGTTGGACACAGGGACTTGGAGCAACCTGCTCTAGTGGAAGGTGTCCCTGCCTGGGGCAGGGAGCTGGATCAGCTCTGAGGTCCCTTCAACCCAAACCAGTCTGGGATTCCATGATTCCATGATCATGCTTCATCATTTCTTTGCCTGGCTGGTGGGAACTCAATAGGAAGTTCACTCATGCAGATACAGGTTTGTATTTCTTCTTTCTTTGGAATAGCTGTAGCCCCACCAAGACAAGGAACCTCCCATCTGGCTGTGGTACCCTGCTGGGACAGGTACAGACCACAGACAGGAACTAGCATCCTTGGAAGTGTGGAGAATTTCAGCGCATCGCTGCTGCATGGTGCTCTCATCCAGGAAGGAGAAATTCCTGATGTCTCCACTGTGCTCACTTGTTAAACCCACACTGAAATGGTATTTTGGATAATGCATGGGGGGTTTCATGATGCTTTGGTGGAAAACTATTCCCTCAGGTAAGACCAAGAGGGAGAAATCATAGCTCCTGATGGGAATGCTTTTGCAATCACGGTGCCCTGCCTGCAATCCCTGGTCCTTCTCCTCCAGCCACGCTGCCTTTTTCCACCAGCACTTGTGGTTTTGAACTGTCCTAACTTATGTGAGATGGTTTTAGAAATTTTGGAGAACAGATCCCCCAACGAAAGCCTCTGTAGTGAGGAATAGCATTTCCCTGCACAGCAAATCCCTGTGCCTCAGGGCTCAGTGGAAAACAACATTTTAAACCTCATCTCCTCATATAATGACACTGTTGCTCAGGTGTCCAGTCATGTTTCATCCCAAGATAGGAGGAATCTGGGAAATAAGACTTAAATCCCTTCCTTCCCTAACAGTCCTTAATGGAAATTAATGTGGAACACAACCACCTTCTTCCTGAGCCTCAGTCAATGTGCTTTATCCTTGGTGTCAACATGCTTTGGTTGGCATATCCTTGATACCAACATCCACCAAAGGGATGCAAAGAGAATTGCTGGACACAAGTCCCCCAGGAAGACTCTGGTGCCTTTAGGAAGTGATGTGCAGGGCTGCAGAGCGAGTGGGGGTACTGCTTGTTGTAGCTATAAAACAGCATTGTGAGTGTGGAGCTGTGAATGTTGGGCAAATTTAGCTCATGGTTGTCTTTAATTAGATGAACCTGCAGCCAGAAACCCTTTAAAAGCCTTCCATGCTGCTAGGCAGCAACGTTCACCACTTCATATAGCTTAAGGAGAAGGGCTCCAAGATCTCTGGTGTGTATCCCATGTTTCTGTTGAATGCAGCTTTTAGCATCCTGTTGGATCAGGAGTTGGTGTTTTTGTGGTGCTCTGCTGCTTGCCTTGAAACCCAGCTCTGAGGTGAGGTATCCTTGTTTTCACACGGGTTTTTGGGCAGAACCCTCTTTCTTCCCTGTGAGGGTGCTGAGGCACTGGCACAGGGTGCCCAGAGAAGCTGTGGCTGCCCCATCCCTGGCAGTGTTCAAGGCCAGGTTGGACACAGGGGCTTGGAGCAACCTGCTCTAGTGGAAGGTGTCCCTGCCTGGGGCAGGGGGTTGGGACTGGATGGTTCCCCACCAGTTCAGCACTGGTGTGGCCATGTCTGGGTCTCTCAGTTCAAGTCTTCTGTTACTGGTATCAATTTGCCACCTTCATCTTCTTCATGCAGCAATTTACTGACAGAACATCAGCAAAGCTTCATCCCATTTCTACCAACCATCCTTGTTCTTCCCACAACCAGCAGCAAAGCCCATTTAATCTCATGCTGGTTTGGGTTTACCCACAGGTGGGTGGGCAAAGCCTGGTGGGTGGTGATGGAGTCACACAGCTCAGCGGCAGTGAGGATTCAGGCTGTATTTTTAGGGTGAACTCATCACTTGGGTAGCTCTAAGCCCTGGACACTGGAATTCCAGCTGGAAGGTGGCCATGAGTGTGGTCAGAGGTGGCTTCTTGCGTTGCACTGGAAGATGTTGATGAGAAGACACACGAGAACTGAGTGATATAACTGCATAAATACTTGAACCAGACCTAATTTCCGCTGCTGATCTGCTGCTGCTGTCTAATGGGGAGTGATGTGTCTGCTTTCCTGGGTGGAAAAAGAGAGAAATGTTTCAATAGTTTAAAATGTTGCAGCAAGCCCTGAATATCTCCATGAATATTGTGCTAGGAGGATCAGGAACGTGCTTTGGTTCAGTAGGGACACAGGTTCGGGAGCGGTTATCAGTAAGAACAGTTATTCTCGGTGGGCACAAAGGGGAGTTAAAGTTTAACCAGCAGAAGCGGGCACAGGCTGTCACGAGGTGGGTGGTTTTAAGAACCAGGTCCATGGGTCTGCAGATGAACTGACAAGGGAGGTCCTCAGGTGGGATTTCTGCGGGATGAATCGTCTTGAACACAGGATGAGCTGTGAGACCCATCATGAGGATGGGTTTGCCATAGGTCTGCATGGGGCTTTGGGCACCAGAGTAAAGGTATACCTGGATGAACCTTGGAGCAACCTGCTCTAGTGGAAGGTGTCTCTGCCTGTGGCAGGGGGTTGGAACTGGGGGAGTTTTAAGGTCCCTTCCAACACAAACCAGTCTGGGATTCTGTATCTGCACCACAAGCTTGGTGTTTCCAGGGCACAGAGCTGCTGCTGTGCTCAGGATGGGCTGCCAGCCCATGCACAGGGAACTGAGGATCTTCCTGCATGACTAACCTATGAAGTTACCATGTGTTTCTCCTTCCATGTAACCAACCAAACAGGGCTTGGAGCAGGGAGGAGTTAGTTCTGCTGCTGGCAGTCAAATATCCCATCCCACCAGCACTTTGTACCCGTTACACCATGGGTGAGCTCACCAAGTCTTGCCTCCAGACACCTACCTGAGCAAAGGCTCTGCCTCTGCCATCTCCTGGCGTGAGCCGTGGGAAGGCTCAGCTGTGCTTCACGCTGGTTGTTCTTCCAGGAAGAGCTGATGCACAGCTTTAGGGGACAGGAACAGTAGTAAGGACAAGACATACATGGTCAAGACCCATCCTTTAATCATAGAATGATGGAATGGTTTGGGTTGAATGGACCTTAAAGCTCACCCAGTTCCAATCCCCTGCTTTTTGCTCAAGGCAGAAGCATTCAATGAGGATTTCCACCTCAACCAACAGTTTCATTGTCCACAGAGTGAGTAATTTCTTCATTCTCCTTTTTCTTAGTATCTCTTAAAGTCCTTCATTCTCCCAAATTGTGGTCTGTGGTTCCCCACTAATTCCTTCTCTTTCATCAGTGATGCAGTTTAGTCTGAGGCATCATCAAGCAGGAAATCTGATCAGCAATTTGAGTCTAAAAAAGGCAGGGACTGGGTTATTTCACATGCACACATGCTGCTGCTCAGGTGGGGACCAGGTGTCTGAGCCTTCCTCTCAAAGGAACAGCATCCTCCTGCCCAGTCCTCAAGGGAACATCTTCTCAAATGGGTCTGTTTTCCACAGTGCAGCTGATGGGTCCAGTGGGGTGGCAGGAGCAGATTGAGGTTGGCCAACAGGATGTGACCATGGTTGGGGATGCTGTGGCCAGACCAATGAGTGAAACATGAGAAACATGCTGGTGTGTAGAACATCCATATAGCATAAACCTGAGAGCTGTAGGTGCCAATTGGGCATCCTGAAAAAGGAGGACATATGAAGCCCCAATAAGCAAAATGACAGAAGGGTGGTGACAAAGCTTATCAGATGTTAATGGAGATGTTGGCATGATCCGGCTGGGTGATGCCCATGTGCTTGCAGGAGATGTGCAGGATAATGTTGTGTCCACAGTCTGGCAGCCTCTGAAGAAGAAATGTTGTTGGGAATGTCAAACATGAACTCCTGGCTCTTGTAGCCAGTCCTGTCCTGGCTCTCACTGTGTGTGAACACTGTGACACATCACAGAGGCTGCAGATGGCCACGTACTGGTCAGAGGCTGTGGCCAGCAGAATAATTGACTCCATAGGTGACAGGGGCTAGTGTGAGATGTGGCCCTTCCTGTGACAGGGGCTCGAACTGGGTGATCTCAAGGTCCTTTCCAGCCCAAACCATTCCATGACTCTGTGATCCCATCAGCACCTGCAGGGTACATGGCCATGTGCTAGGCGGGGAGGGGCAGAGCAGACAGTGAGCTCCACAGCAGAGCAGAACCCAGGCTGTGCAGAGCAGCTCCGGACCCAGAGTTTGCTCACA